TTTATTCATTGTGTATTAAGTATAGTACCTAGTAATATCATCACAAACTCAGAAGCGAAAGCACAAAACATTGACAATTGTAGAAAAATGTGATATTTTAGACCGCTTAAATCGCAATGAAACTTTCAGTAGTTTAGCAAGTGAATACGGCGTAGGCCGATCTACAATTTATGACATTAAAAGAAACCACGAGAAGATCCAGAAGTTCGTGTCAACTAATGACTGCGGGCCAGGCAAGAGACAGACACTCAAGAAAGCTGAACATCCAGAAGTGGAAGAAGCTTTGTACATGTGGTTTCTTCAGGAAAGAAATAGGCATGCACCAATTTCAGGACCCATGTTTGCCATGAAAGCTAAGTTTTTTTATAAGGAAATAACAAAAAAAGATGATTTTGTGGCCAGCAAAGGATGGCTAGAACGTTTTAAAAGTCGTCATGGCATACGTTTAATGACTGTTACAGGAGAGAAACTTTGTAACGATGCCACCTGCATAGAGCCCTTTAAATTAAGATTTTTGCAAAAGGTGAACGATTTAAATCTTGACCCGTCACAGGTGTACAATGCAGACGAATCAGGGCTTTTTTCTCGTGTGATGCCTAATAAAATTTTCGTTTCTTGTAACGAAAAATCTGCACCTGGACGAAAAGTAAGTAAAGAGCGTCTAACCATACAACCAGGTGCTAACGCTGCGGGCACACACGCGCTTAAGATGATGGTCATTGGGAAATCTAATAAACCACGGTCATTCAAAAGATTGATTTACCTGTACACTATTACGGAGAAAAAAGTGCATGGATGACAAAAGTCCTTTTCAACAAGTGGTTTGATGAATGCTTCGTACCTGAAGTTAGAAAATGGTTAAAGGATCATAATTTTCCTCAAAAAGCGTCGTTGCTTCTTGACAACGCTCCCGGTCATCCAACTGAAGAAGAACTAATAACTGAGGATAAATGCATCACTGCGATGTTTCTTCCGCCAAATTGTACTGCAATGATTCAACCAATAGACCAGAATATCATGCAGTTTGTCAAGCAACACTATAAGAGAAATCTACTTCTGAGAGCCGTATCAAAAGACCAACCAATAGAAAAAAGTTTAAAATAATTTAATATGAAAGACTTGGTTTTTGCTGTTTGTCAGTCGTGGAATGCGTTACCGTCATCAACTATTAAATCGTCTTGGAAAAAGTTATGGCAAGATATAGTCACCACCCCTAGCAACGTTCCACAAATCAGTGTTACTTCGGAAGTTATAGAACAAGTCGCTACTGAAACACAGATAAGTCCGGAATATTTGGAAATCTGGTGCCGTGGAATGGATAAAGAAGAAAAAGTTTTTCATGAAATGTCTGTCGAAGAGGTAATAAAAGAGGTTTCTAATTATACAACAAACAATCAGGAAAATAACGACGACGTGATTGCAACTGCTCCACAAGTCACAGCACAAGACACAATTAACGCCTTTGAGCTAGGTTTACAATGGGCTGAAGAGAATGGTACATCCTACAACGAACTTTTACTTTTGAGAAGACTGATGGACAAAGCTCTGATCTCGCGTTTTAACAACCTTAAACAAAAATAAAATTGATGTATATTTCCAAGCTTTTTTAATGATTTTGATTAATAATTCTTGATTATTTTGGTGCATATGTATGTGCATTGATGCTTAATTTTATAATAAGACGTCAGCTCTCTATTGTTATTTAATTTACTAAATTCGACATACATAAACTATGTATGATTTGTACTTCAAAGTACATACATATACATAACATATATAATCTTACCATTGGATATGTAATTTGTCGGATTACAAGGTACTCTTTTGTAAAAAATTCCGGACTATAGGGGGTCTTAGGCAGTGCTCTATAATCCGACAAATTCGATAGTCCTACACTGCCCTGCATAGTGTTTGTCGGATTACCGGAGGTCCACTGTATATGTTTAAAGCTAGACATTGACTCCATTTTTATTAACACGCTTTTATTGGCTTGGCGTGTATGTATGTAAAATTTTTGAGCATAATTTCCACAATTTCCTGAAGTTTTTTTTTATACTCCAACTAGGGCCTAAGCACCCATTGGGTACCGTGGGGCTATAGGGGGAAAGAGGGGGACGCCACACGGACTCTGGCGAGGGAACACGTGTGCATGCAACATGCACACATTCTGGCTCAGCCTACGAGATCCGCCGGGTGGTACCTCCGCGTTCGACAGTCAGAGACCATCTACCAGTTTGATTAATTTGAAACTTCCCACACGTATCAAGGACCGATGACAGTGCAATATCATGACATGTCCACAAAAGAATAATAGATAAATCGAATTAAGAAATGAAAAATAAGTAATAGTTTAAAAAAGCACGAATTTATAGCTAAATGATTTAAAAAGTAGAAAATGATTTTTTATTACAAAGAGCTTATATTACAGTAGTAGATGGTCGAGCAATTAATTATAATTAGTGACCTTAAAATAAAATTATAATAAAATGTATCAACATATTAATTCAACAATCGTAGGGGTTTAAAAATTGAGGGCTGGGTGGGGGACAAGAGAGGATCTCAATTTTTTTGACGGTGTTATACTTATACGCCTCCAGCCACGGTAAGTCTATGCTTACTTTTAGACATTTCATTATAAATGTCCCATTTGTGAAACTGCCGATGCATGTGTCTAGCAGTCGACCTCCGATGCTGGACTGGATGTAAAGCAATCGTTATCCACGGCACATTGAGACGTATTCATAAAAGTATAAGGTCTTGCTTCGGAGAAAAAGGTAGAAGTATAAGCATATCCTTGTTTTCATATTCATAATGATTACCTTATACTCGCGAGGATATCCTCCAAGAAAAAGTAAAAGGTTGACCGGTATTTGTATCTTGAGTGACACGTTCCGACTTGTTCCAGCTTGTAGTTGACGTGGGAGTTCGTTCACTCAGCATCTCTGACAGTTGTAATCCAGAGCTTACACAGACCGTTCCGTATTTTTACTGGATACAGTTTTTTTATCAAATTAATAGGCATGTCATCCTCAAGTGATGAGGAAAGTATAGAAAATAATGGCAACGACCTGCAGTTCATCGCAGATGAAATTGCCATTGCTTCCATTATTTTGCATTATGTTCCAAAAATAGAAACGAGAAAGGACGATGCCTTGAAGAACATGTTGAAAAAATACGAATCAACATTCGGTAAACCATTAGATACTAAAGGCTTATTAAAAGAAATCAACAACATGAAATCAAGATTGACGAAAAAAAAATGGTAATAAAGCAATGAAATTGTTAGATTGGAAAAGAAAGTTGCTGAGAGCTATGGAAGGTGACTGTAATCCTACAATTGGGAAAATTAGAGGTGCCATTCAGGTTGGTAGTGTTCAAGAAGAAGGAGGTGAACTATACCGAGCACAGTGAGCAAACAGTTACTATTACAGCGCCAGCAATTCAGAAAACATTGCCACCAAAAACAAAATTAGCAACAGAGAAATACGAAACTGAGGAAACCAAAAGAACTGCAACGTCTATCGCTATTACTGCAGTACCAAACAAGTATTTTACAACAAGAGTATTATAAAACGAAATTAGAAATCATGCAGCGTCAGAAGCCACCTGTAACTTATGATGTTCACGAAAATAAATCTTATTAAATACACTTCAATCAGTAAAATTATTTATTATAACACTCAAGTTTCTTCTTGTTTGTTGACCTAGTTGGCGAAGAGGAAGTTCGTCATTCTCATGATTTCCTTCATCTTCATCTGAGTCTTGTTCAACAAACTCAGTCAGGATCGCCCAAGCTTACAACTATTATTGTTAACTATTTATTGTTCTATTAAGTTTGTATGTTTAGTGCTGTGTGTTTTTGAATAGTTTAGTGTTTTGTTATTTGTTATTGTTATTCGTTTTAGTATTATTTTTTTAAAATGAACCAATTTACTCGCGGAAAGACGTTTCATAGCCAAACAAGAGAAGTGATTGCGAATGTTTATCGGTTAGTAATAATAATATGCAATAATTGTAGTTTTTGTCGACTGAGTCTGAATATAAATAAAAAACAAGGAAATGCTAAGCTAACATTCTGATGATTATTTATAGGGTTTGCGATGAGGAAGCGGCAAACAATTCCCTCAAGTTGCTGCTTAAACGTAAGCTTGATAGGGTGTCCCTTTATACCGGAGTCGGAATATCTTCTGTTAGGAAAATTCATAACGAAGATAAAGAAAGACTAGAAAATAACCCCAATAAAATGTTATCCATTCCCGGGAAAAAAGGACCGCGTCAGTCTCTTGTTGAGAAAGATGAATATTTTGATTTTCAGATTATTAGACATTTGATAAACAGATTTTATCTTGAATATAAAGTTGTCCCGACAACTAGGAAGTTATTGCAAAAGTTGCGAGAAGACTCAAATTTCCCCTATTCTAGGGAAACACTCAGGAGTTTATTAAAATCAAATGTTTTTTTTTGGCGCAAATATCAATATAAAAGAAAAGTTTTGATGGAGAGGCCTAATATATTGCAATGGAGGTACAAATACATCCGTGAAATACTTAGATATCGTGAAGAAGGGCGCAATATTGTTTACTTGGACGAAACCTGGGTGGACAATGACTTGACTTTCAAAAAATGCTGGCAGAGCGAAACTGTTTCTGGTGTAATAAGCAGTATAGGTTCTACAGGTAAGCAAAAATGCTATATATATATGTTAAATTTAACTCCAATTTGTAACATATTATATAATCGTCTTGTATATTTTAGTTCGACTTATAGTGCATGCAGGTTCACAAAATGGATTTGTTGACAATGCCTGTTTGATATTTAAGGCGGGATTAGCTATAGGCGATTACCACGGTCAGATGAATCGGGAGAATTTCACACGCTGGCTCACCGAAAAACTCCTCCCGAACATACCTGCCGATTCGGTTATAGTATTTGACAATGCTCCATATCACTCCGTCCAGGAAGATAAAACCCCGACAAAATCATCTTCGAAAAAAGATATAATGGCCTGGTTGACAAAGAAAGGTACTTATGACTCAAAACATGCATGTATATATCAAACTATACAATAAAATATTTTATAGGCATAAATCATGAAGCAACTGCCAGAAAATTTGACTTGTTCGATCTGGTCTTACTTCATAAGCCCCCTGACAACCAAAAAAATTATGTAGTTGATCGGATCATAAGATCACATGGACATACTCCTCTAAGAACACCTCCTTATTTATGCGAGCTAAACCCAATAGAATTAGCTTGGGCAAAGCTTAAATTTCATATAAGAAGCCGCAATACCACTGGAAACGTCAGTTTAACCGCACTGAAAGAAGTTACTCAGGAAGCGATGTCCTTAATATCCATTAATGATTGGCAGAAATTTTGTCAACATGTTAGGGACATTGAAGATAAATTTTGGGAAAATGATCAATTTATGGAGGAAATGGAACCAGTTATAATAACTATAGGGCAAGATGACGACAGCGAAACTGATGACGACAGTGACGATGATGATAATGATGAAGTTGACGAACACCAATGCTAATTCAATAGGTGAAATGTAATTTTGAAATGCTGTATAATGTAAGTATTATTTAGTACAGAGGGTATAAGTTAAACGGATATGGAATATGTTTAAAGTTCTTTGTTTCTATTTAAGCGACACCGATGCTCTAGAAATATCCACATCAACAGTCCAAAATTGCAACAATAGGAATCCAGAAAGATGCGGATTATAAAATAAAAATTAATTTTGGTCATGTTTCGGCTTGTGGCACTTTTTAAAGTAAATCAGCATATTATAAGATCACGGATGTATAATATAAATATATATGTATATATATATATATATATATATTCTCAAGGTAAAAAAACCACGTTAAGTATCTATTTGTATTTGAAAAATATATTTTATTTACGGCTTTGACAAAAACGCTAGCTTGATTTTCAAATTAGGTTTTAAAACGCGCAGTTATCATGATTTTTTGAATTGTGGCAATTTTGGGAAGTGAGTAGACATTTTTCCGTTTGTTGAAGTGTACAAACAAACTCAAGTGTTTTTTTACATGGTGTAGACTGTAGAGAACAGCTATTTTTGAGTTTACCCGAGACTTTATTTATTATTATGGACAATGCTCCATATCACTGTGGGCTTATTGAGATACTTCCCAAATTTAAAGTGAAACATAAACGTATAGTTTACTAAATTTAAACCAATTATGAAATAATCCCAAACTTTTATAAAATACCGCACGCCGCTGGCATTTTATGAATGAAACCAGCCATGTTTTGCTTTCCCCTCACCGATACCCCGATGTTGCAGATCCGTTTGCCAAACTATAGTTGTGATCTAGTCTGTGAATTTCTCCATATTCCGGAATCATGCACTGATCCTGACCAACTGAAATCAACACTTGTGAACATCTCTCGGGCAACACAAGTGGCTTGCACATTTAAAGTATGTTTCCGTTTTCGGTTGATATACTTATCTCCATAGCGATTTGGTTTCAGGATTCCTATATGTGTACAATCAATTACACCAATTGCTGTCGGACATTTATACATGCTTTGCTATATCCGCTTGGCCTCCATCAGTTGATGGTTGGTAGTTGGAAACTTGATCCATTCGTTCGACTGTGCAACTATGCTGTCCACAACTGTATCCACAGTCCGAGATACCGTTGCTTGACTAACACTAAGTTCCTGACCAATACCTTGTTGATATCCAGGGTCACCGAGACATATCTTCATTTTATGAATACATGAAAGTGCTCCTCCTCCAGTTTCCTCATTCTCAACTAAAAATCTGTCCGCAAGCCATTGTGCATTTGCTTCGTCGAACCGATATAATATTTTGAAGTCACTACCAAGTGAAGGTGAACGACGTTTGTACGTTTTAACATCCCTAACATCCACAATTTCCGCCATCATCGTTTGACTACCTTTCTTTACAAAGTTGAGTCTGCTACTGACCACACTCAGAATTTTTGAAGGATATGCTTCCTATGCCAAGTATAAGGTGAAGATTATGAATATCCTTTTACTTATGTCCCTGAATGTCCCAAGGATATGCTTATACTCTAAAAGCAAAAGCGTTTACTTCAAATTATTATGAATACCATCTAGAGTATTTCCTTCAAAATTTGCAAGTTCGAGGATCCAAAAGTGTACAAAAAACACGTTAGATATGCAAATTTCGCTTTTTTGGGTATGTTTGACTAACTTGATCCGTTAAACTTACTCGTTATACATGCTAACTTTTTTCTTAAAAAGGTTGACCTGTGCCCGACATAATTGTTTATGAACTGATGTCAGCGTTGTGTAGAAAGTGCAGAGTCAACCTACTTGACACCATTTTTTTTTCCAAGTACCTGGTATACGCCAGATCGCCATAAGGTTAAAAAGTCCCACTCACAGCCTGGGCGTTAACATTCTCGTCGATCGGATGCGATCTTATCTGATCTTTCGCTTTTCACCATCCGTGTACTCTACGGTTTTTGTTTTTTAATATATATCCCGTTTGTTTATGGAGCTCTTTGCTGTCCGATAAAAATAATGTAACATGATCTGCCCCTTGCCCGTAAATTTGGTATAAGTGAAACAATGTTGTTTACATGGTACCTGCTATTCCAACGGATATTTGGTCATTGTACTCTCAATGGGTCGCATGTTATTTTTTTCATTCATTTCTCAATTTAGCGTAACGCATAAACGATAATGTCAGTCGAATAAAGAATGGCGTCAACTAGGTTGACTCTGTACTCTCAACACGACGTCGTCATCAGTTTATAGAATACAATTTAAATTCACTGGGAAACAAGTCAGTTACAAACAGTAGAAAAGCTGGTCCCTAGGTCAAGTATACGAGCCCCTTCCCACTTCAGTTGGCCCACTTCAAGATTTGTACCAAAATATGCCTTTATAAACTAAATATGACGAAACTATTTACTTCTAATACAATTTATTTTCTCCAAAACATTTTAGATACACTCTAGTCGTAAAAATACATATTTGAAATCACTTAGACCTATAACTAATAGAACATCTGAACAAATAAACAATGTGCGAATAAATGCGCGAAGTTAACAAAGCAACAATTGAAAGATTACCATTGGGTAACATCACCTTTATTTTTTATTAAGGCTGAAATTCTTTGGGGCATAGTGTTAACCAAATTTTGGCAAAAATCCAAAAATTTGGTGTAAAACAATTACATATTTCTTGAAGCTTTTGTCTCAGTTCGGTGAAAGTGGTACATTATTTTCTTCCATCCATTTTGGTCGGATGTCAAACATTCTTCTATCACTGTTCCAAGTTCATTATCTCGTATTTTTCTAAATTTCAGAAAATTACAAACATCTCTTGAACTATAAAGTTTCGGACCACACATATAGGGATTCATTCGATAGGTTTTGTGGCCGTCTATCACCTGACTTTCGTTGATCCACTAATAACTTTATACCCAGTATATCTCATTTTCGAAATATTTCGCGATTAGAATACTTTCTCACCCAGTGACATAGGAAGTAAAAGGTACGTAGCTATTATACTTTCTCTAAATTCGAGTCATTAAAGCACCAGCTTTGGCTTGCTCAAATACCAATCACATACAGACAGCATAAACATTGAACATTTCTGAAAGGAGTATTGAGGTATTGGGTGAATGATGAAGCGTCGTTTAAAAGCTAAAGAAATGGTAGTGTAAGTTCAATTACCCTATGCGACAAAAATATTTTTTGAGGTTCCATCCAAAGGCAAAGCCCAGTCTGGAGTTTGTAAAATGCAGATCAGCCGATACAACAGGTCGTAGCCGATTGGAAAAATAAATCGTCGTATTTATTTTCGAGAAAATCAAGTTTATCGGCAACCAGTATCCTTGTTGAACTGAAAGCAGCCACCGCTATTTGCTATCACAAGCAAATATGTAACACTAGCCTCACATAGATGTACCCAATTTCTTTCTGTTATAAATGAAAAAAGCTATATCGCTAGATTAATATCACAAACCAGATGGTATTTTCTATCACAAACAAAATGTAACGCTAGTCTCGCATAGATCAAACCTAATAAATCAAAAATGTTACTTCGGCGGTTTGCTAAACTGTCATGTGCATTCTTACAATGCTGTTCCAATTTCTAATAATTTGATCGACTTATCCCCATTTTAAATCCGTTTGTGCATTTTGCAACGCATGCCTTTGAGTTCCAAAACTTAACAACAAACTTCATCTATCCAGTTTTTTATTTTTTTACTTAGTGGCCTCATCCAAGTTTTTCTAAGAACATTTAGCACCAATCTTATCAACTAGCTCCTGAAGATGATAGCATAGACTACCGGAAGCTTGAGATTAAAGTTATATTAGTACACCGCTGTATTTTGTCGATTTTCCAAGTAGATCATTTTTTTACTTATACAGGGTACGCTCCACGTCTGGGGTGCAAATCTCCACTAGCACATGCACGTGAAACAATTAAACTAAATGTTCCGTGATGTGGTATGTGCTTATTGGGTAATCAGTGTGCATACAAACGAGAAGCCGCTCGTGAATTTTGCCCTGCTTCTCCGTACGTTAAAACAATATCCTCATTAGTGTACACATGTGCCATTTTTATTAATAAATAACTAAAAACATAAATTTTCAAAATACTTTCTTATTTAACTTCACAAAAATCGACCGTTCTTCATTCAGATCACCCACGATACAGATTAAACGTTATTTACACGTTCTTATCAGTACGAAAAAATAAGAAAGTCCTGGTATTTTGTTTTCCTCAGTTGTTTGGTACAACATTGACAACAATAAATTATTACTGCGTGTTCTGATATCACGACGATGAACGCAAACTACAGATATTTATTTTTCAATTTTTTATTGTAACTCAGGTTTATAACTTAATTTCTGTAGGCCTTTTATTACATTTTCTCTCGAGAAATCAGCTTCTCTCATAACAGTGCATATGTGGTTAAAATAAGTCAGATAAGTTGTGAAACACCCTGTATGTACATGTATAACCAGCCAATTGTCTGGCGTCGTCAGCCCCCAAATACGTTGGTCAGCCCGAATTTGGGGTCTCAAACATATCGCCATGTAGTTCGTCTGATAGATTTTATGGTGGACCAACCTTTAGACAGAAAGCACATGGCTTAAACGGCAACAACTTTGAGGTAATTACTTTAAGAACAC